TTTGCTAACAGAAACGGATGGAAAATGGCCCATTGTGGGAACAAAGGTTCAAGCTCCAATGCCAAAGAAAATAAAGAGCATCTGGGCCAAATCCAGAGAAACCAAAGACTCAAACAGATGAGTCCCCTGTTTTACGTACAGCTGGATGCAAACTCTGAGCAGCTCGCTGTGCAGCCTCTGCTGCGCATGAGGGACACTTTTAGCTTCACCTGCAGCTCAGACGGGAGATAAAATACGAGTCGCTTCCATCTGGAAACGTTTAAACCTGAAGAAGCCTTTGGGATGAGCGGAGTAGCGTCTCCAAGAAGAAGAAGTCCAGCTGCTTTCACTCAGACTCTGAGAACTGCGTTCCTCTGTACTCTCAACATCTATGTGTCTCTATTTTAGAACATAATGACGCTCGTATGCTTCACCATAAACAATAAAGTAGTTTATTACTGAGACATGTAAATGCTGAGGGTCCAGAGATCAATTTCAGACTTGATGGCTGTTAAGACTTCACTTTTCTGTGTGGAAAACAATGATGTTGAATCCAGATTTCAAAAGAAAAAACAAATATAGCACAGAAATGTATTAAATGCCATCTCTAATGTCAAATTAGTCTGTGGGAAGACACCAGAATGATGGTAAAATAACACAACACGCAGCCCCGAGTGAGTCATTCATCCAGATTTTCTGACACTTGTATTCTCAGCAGTGAATCTGCACGACTTCTGAGAGATGCTGCGACTTAAAACCGACATAAAAACATTTAATCTTCCTCTCATTTCTTCCCACACTGACACAAATTCAGCTCTAATTTATGCACAGAGAATTCCTGCTGTGCTACATCTGGCGCTCAACAATCGGGCGCCGCCGGCGCCGTGCGCCAATTTGATTGAAAAAACAATTTAACTGACAATTATGACACGAGGGGAACGCAGCGTCTTTAACTTCCAATTGAAAAAATCATAACAGTGATGGAGGAAATTTCGAATCTGCATGTTTTATATACAAACCAGCAAGCAGCAACATTTTATTCAAGATGAAGAAGAAATAGTCTCACTTTTTGAGGCTTCTGGCGTCTAAACGGGCTTCACAGGAGCATTTCTGACCTCGGATGGCAAAGATGAGGAGATTTATTTTTCAACGACCTGATAATTGGTTGCAGAACACGTGTGCTGCTCGTTAACTCAAACGGCCAATCAGCCAATCACCGGGCAGCTGGCGGGCTCAGAATCAGGCCGGACCGGCTGAAAACACGGCTCCTCCTGCTTTTATCAGCAGCTCAGGCTGTTGGACGGGAGCTGTTTAATAAAGTCGGAGAAACCCTTCAAAGTTTGATGTTCTCTCCAAATTCTGTTTCCCGGACGACGGCAGGAGGAAGGAGTGGAGCCACAGACTGTCTTCTTAGGCCAAAATGTGGACATTGTTGTCCTTAAAAAAGAGTGGGCAGGACTCAGCTGGTCACCTGAAGGCTGAGGGACACTTTGAGGACCTGGAGAAAAAGCATGACTCAGCAGAGGAGCTGGTCTCTGTTAGCCTGGAGAAAGCATGACTCAGCAGAAGAGCTGGTCTCAGACAGAAGCTGTCTCCTCCTTCCAGAGCACTCTTAGGAACAACAGCCAGATGATTCAGCCCTCAGCTTCAAAGATGAGACCCAAACCACTCTGACAGGGAGTAACCGACCAATCAGAGCCCCCTAACCACCATCAACCCCCCCAGGTGACCCCCATACCCCCCCAGCAGGAGGGACCAGAGCCACCTTTGGTTTCCCCCTAATTCTTTAATTCCACCTACAGTATATAAATCTGACTCTACATTTTTATTAATTGTTTTGCTGCTTTTTCCACTTATTTTAAGTAGTTTAGCTGATTTTTCCACTTATTGTTCATTGTTTTTATGCTTTGTTTATTTATTTTTTGTTGTTTTGCTGCTTCTTTTGGTTTTTTTTTGCTGCTACTTTGACTTATTTTTCATTGTTTTGTTGCTTCTTTTACTTCTTTTTCATTGTTTTTGTGCTTTCTCTACTTATTTTTGGTTGTTTAGCTGCTAACCACCTCCATGCCCCCCCCCACCTTTGGTTTTCCCCTAATTCTTTAGTTCCACCTACAGTATATTAACTCAGAGCTCCACCATCAGTTGGAACTGAAGAAGCTTCCGGATCAGGGGCCAAACGTCTTCTAGAAAACTTCCCCTCCAGCTGCCTGAACCGGACTCTTAGAGCTGGACCTGGATGACTGAGGACCTTCACAGTCACAGATATCCCACCAGGAGTTCATCAGGATTATTTAGGCTCGGGGAGGCTTTCATCTCTTGGAAATCATCGTCCCTGCTGCCTCACTCACATCCGATTCCTCCCGGCTGAGAGGATCCCTCTGGAAGATGGATGAGGAAGGTGTGTATAAATAGAGAGGTGAGCGGAGATGACAGTGAGTGAAGGATGAGAGCAGGATATGGAGACGGGAAGGAGTGGAAAGGAGTGGAGTGTGAAGCCGGTCGGGAGACAAGATGCAGTTATTCAACTATAACTGACACAAAATCTATCGCTGCTAAGAATCAATTTGTACTTTGTTTCCGCATCGATTTGTGCAGACTAATTCTTTGCCAGTCAAAACGAATGCAAAAGGAATAAAACTTTTTATTAAATTTTGCATTAATTCTGGTCTGCTGTCTGGACTGGTTGGAGTTGAATGCTAAATAATCTAAATATATCAGACTAATAATCAATGCTGAGCTTAAACATTTAATCTTAAAAAGATAGAAGTGGACAGGGTTGTAAAATCTGCTGTTTTTCTTTCCATCCTGGAAGAGTTAACTCCCACATTTGCTCCTCTTCAAAGAGCATGTCATTAATATATGACTGTCGAATGAGGATTTAGTCATTTTAGAGCAGAAGGTGACGCTGCGCCTTGTGTTAGATCCACCGGAGTGAAGGACTCTTAATCAAAAGTACAAATATCAAAGTGGAGAATAGACCAATATCAATACATACTGGAGTTTGAATTGAATGTTTTCAAAGAGTTAGATTTTATCTGGGATTTTACACAACAGAAGTTTGGAGGCGTCGCTCATTCAAACTGGATGAAAAGTGAACTTAGAAGTCTGATTTCTGCCGTCCAGCTGCAACAGAGGGAGCCGTTTGTCACCACATTCACACTCTGAATCCTGTTTACGCTTCAGATCTGTGAGAGTTTTGGTTTTTGGGCTGAAAACAGAGCGTGTGCGGACCTGGGTCCTGTGTTTGTGGGCTTTCTGCATCCTTTCAGCCGGACTCCGGCCTCCTGATGGAGCTTTTTTCCTCAGAGCTGGTCTTTTTCCTCCTTCAATCTGCATCGTTTTAACCCTGAATGGTGTTTGTGCACGGAGGCGTGCGCACGCGCCTGTGTGCATGTGTGTGTGTGCGTCTTGTTATTGTCCTGGAAGCAGAAACAGAGGTTGATTTAACAGTGACGTCTGACGGAAATGGGGGTAAGGAACCAGTTCAAGACAATTTCCTGGGAATAACAACTTGTGTGAGTGTGTTTGCCGGAGTCTCGGCGGCCCGGCGGCCCGGCGGCCCCGTCCCGCTGCCACGCCACCGTTGTTAAGTCTCCTCTATTCCTTGAGGTACCAATTAAACTGCTAATCCTGCAACCCAGCCACCTTTGTGGGAGTGTTGCCTAATGCCGGCCTGTAAGAGCTCTCAAACCAGCCCAAAGTCCTCATGCACACGCACACACTGTGCCTCTGCCTCTCCACACTCACGGGCTGTTTTCTCTCCTCTTTCACCTCCCTCCATCCCTCCACTCCTCCCTCCTTCTCTCCTCTCAGGAACATGGCTTTAGCACTGCTATCAGATCCATCTAATGAGGAGGTAGCTTCCCTCTGAAGATCCACAGGCGCATGCACGTCCAGTCCCTCTCCACACACACACACACACACACACACACACACACACACACACATACACACGCGCTGAATAACAGGCTACGATTTGCATCTAGGCCAAGGCTGCACCATTGTCAGAGCCGTCCCAGGAGTGCGGCGCTGCTTTTATTCCTCCCCTTCACAATAAGCATTATGCAGCCGCAATCATTCACGGCGGATCCAGAACTGTTGAGGGTGAGACGCAAACGTCTGAGGCTAAACGCGCTGAGAAACCAGGCTCAATAGCTGGAAACGCTGACCTTTTGCCTGGATTTAAGGAAAGCGAAAGGTTTAAGATAGCAAATGAAGTCAAACTCAACGTTTTGCATAAACTTCTGTTGTCGGCAAAACAGTCGAATGAAAGAGAAATGTGCCAAAATTTGCTTTGAATCGTAAACTTTGTGCATCAGGACGCAGTAAAAAAAGGTCGTTCAGTCTTTAGCAGCTCTTTGAAGTTTGCTCAATTTGCTGCTCTGCAGCTTTTCAGGTGTTTTAGCATAAAGTCTAGGAGGAAAGACACCAGAAGGACCGTCAGTCTGAAGGTTTAAAAACATTTTAAAATATCTGGAGTCCATCGGTCTGCAGAGAGGAAGATGTTTGCCAGCTGGAAAACATCCCCAAGAGCTCAGCCCAAAGTCAGAGACCCAGAAACTCCATCTAGGACTCAGCTAGCAGCTCAGAGGTCAAAGGTCAGGGCAGATTGAGCCAGTTTGTTTGTTTGTTTGGGCTGCAGGAGGAAACAGAAGCTGGCAGCCTGTCTCAGGTCTGAACATAGAGCAGAGTGGAAAGCAAACGGCTCAGAGCAGCTGGCAGCACGGCGGGGGAGGCGTCATGGTCTGGGCTGGCATCAGGACCTCCGGCAGGAGCTCCTCTGGACCCCAAAGTGTTCAGATGTGCCCCAAAGATCCAAGCAAAGGGGGACATAGCGACTAATTCTAGTATTTATCAGATTATTTGTCTGATTCACAGCAGAGTTTCCATCAGCTGCTTCGTCTCTCTTGACTTCAAACGCTCAGCGAAGCGCTCTCGATCCGTCCCTGTTGCTGCAAAGCAATGAAGAAGAACTTAGCCCTTTTTATTTAAGAGGCACATTCATACAGAGATTATTCAACATGCACAAAGAGCCTCAGCCTGAAGTTTTGGAGGACAGGGCGGTGTTGAGTGAGTGAGTTCTCCCTGAAACGACAGGATGTGCTCGCGGCCTCACATCCACAGAGCTCTTCTTTCAACCCTCTAAGCTGAAGTATTTCTAAAGTACGAACAGCAGCGAAGTGAAAAGTGGCTTTTGTTTCCTTGGTTACGGTCACACATACAAAAGCAGGAGTCTGATGCTTTCTAAAACAGGTCTTGTCAGAAAACTCCCTCTTACAAGGCAGAGTTTTTTTTTCCACGGCGGCTCCCTCTATTTGCCTTTATATTCTCCATTCTTTGCAGATTTAGATAAGGCCATTCATGCTTCTCACCTCAGCGCTCGCTGCCTCTATTCCTGCCCGAGTCTCAGCTCCCTTTCATATCTGCAGCTCTTCTGGGACGCAACAGTCAAGACGGAAACTGCTTCCACACAAAGACGCGACAATATTACCGAGTTATCTAAGCAGAGGGGCTTCAAGCAAAAAAAAAAGGAGGGTTCTTTGCTTTTTTAAGCACAACAGGAAGCTTCTAAGTAGAAAAAGGGGGTGATTATAGATTAATGGGACAGCAATGGCACGCCAGCTCGACATGGAACACTTTTTTAAAAACACATATTTAAGGCTCAACTCTTGTTTGAATGCTGCTGTTGCAAAATATAGATCAAGAATTGCACAAGTGAAAGATGGAGCGGATTTTTCTGCTCAGCGAGCTGAAGGGAATCCGCACGCTGCCGCTCTGATGAAGGCCGCCGCCGCCGAGCCCCGCTGCTTTTCACATGAAAGCTTTGGCATCCTCAGAATAGCTGAGCTCCTTCAGTTCCAAACTGGAGGCTGCGACAGGCTTTAGATTCGTTGTTTTTCCTCACGTCTTGTAATATCTAAACCTTTGACAGAGTAATGGTGCTGCTCTCCGGGGTTCCGACAAACGGTGAGTTAGACATTTTATCTGCAGTTAGTTCCTGCTTTTTTTATCGTTAAGTTTAACGAGAAAGTCATCGGCCTTCGCAAATGACATGAACTGCTGGAGTTCTTATGGGTTTTGGGCGGGATTGGTCCCAAAAAACGGATAAATGAGCTGTGAACGGAGCGCATGTGCTGAGGTGGACGAGCTGGTTTAACAGAGCAGGACGGGACTTTTGTTTGGGGGGCCGGAGGACAAAAAAAGAGAGAGGATGCACAGGATAAAGGTGCATGAGTTCAAACACTTGGGCTCAAATCTTCAGAGCCGAGTTCAGGGAGGATGGACGGGACAAAAGAGACGGCCGGTCTGATGAAGACAGGACCTGGAGATTGAGTTTAAGATGCTCCGATTTGGAGTCAGAGCATCCAGTTAACAGCCCAGCTTAAACGGTTTGGACGCAAAAGGGGGAAACAGGGAGATGAGAGACAAATTCATGGATTAACCAATAGAGGAAATGGGCTCAGAGGACAAGAGTTTTCATTGGATAATGACATGTGTGCAGAAATGTATTTACATTTATGCTTTGATGCTACATGCTAGCAGAGGGTTTAACATCCAGCTAGAACACAGATTCCACAGCTAGCATCCACTGATGCTACATGCTAACAGGAAATAAGAGACTTTAGTCTATCTATCTATCTATCTATCTATCTATCTATCTATCTATCTATCTATCTATCTATCTATCTATCTATCTATCTATCTATCTATCTATCTATCTGTTATAATGGCTTTATAACTGAGCTGCAGACCTCCCTGCATGCAGCTGTTTCCTCTACAAAACATCTGCATTTGATGGGAGGGCAGGAATCAGCCTCCCTGACTCCAGTGAAGCTCCCTAAAATAGACGGATGAGGCAGACAGAACTCTTCTCTGTGCTTAAACTCTTTCCTTTTGGTGTCTGAAATCACTGCAAAGAGGGAAATTCAGACTTCACAAGGCTGTCACTTTGTCTGGGAGCCGTCTAGGTTTCAGCTTCTGTCACATTAACAATTCAAAGCAAGTCAGACTCAACAAACGAGCAGCCGAATGCAGAAACAAGTCCTTGGTTTGGTTCAGGTGCAAACCGCGCTAAATGCTGCAGATACATGAAGCTAAAGCCTTAGAGTTGGACAGAAATGGTTAAACTGTGATAGTTTAAAGGAAATCCCCCTTCTAGTGAAGCACTCCTGGAGCAGGCTGCAGTTTTCTGGGAGTTGTTTTCCACATCTATTAAGCTAAAGAAAACCTAAAACAGCTTCTCCCTGATTAGTTCAGACTCTGAGGGTTGAAAGGAAGATACCAGAAGATTCTTTGGCTGGAAACAGAAGTCTTTTGAATGCAGGCAGCTTCTGCTCACAGCGGAGTCATCGAACCTCCCCAAAAACCGATTGAAGATCTAAAAGGATTCTCATCACAGCTGGGATGAGATCACACGCAGGCTGTTCAGATTACTTCCTTCAGTTATTTTTCTAACGGCTTAAAAAGTATTTGTATTTGTATTAGATTTAATGTGAAGACGCCATTTTTTGGGATAAAAAGACCATTGATCAGTTGCTTACCAGGAAACTTTCAATCTAAATTTCCCAAAAGCTGTAATCAAATCGTGTTGATTCTATATTTATTGTCGCATGCTATGTGACCATCAACTAGCTGTCATCAAATGTGCGTGAGACAGCATCTGCAAAGGAAAGCTGTGCAGGAGCCTTTTGATCAGAGATGGAGAACGGAAAGGTTCGGATATGTTGTGTCACAGTTTCTGAGCATGGAAGAAGACTCCAGATGTGGAGAACCAAGATAACTGAGGCTATTAATGCAGAAAAAGGTGAGAGAGAGGGAGGGCGAGAGAGGGCGAGAGAGGCAGCCTCCACAGTAACAGATTCAGACAGTAAAGGTGGTGTTGCTCCCACCCACAGATCCAGACTCCACAGCTCCAGGAGGAGAGAGGAGGAAAGGGAGGAAGTCCGGTCTGTGACATGCCGGCTCATTGGCGGGGGGGGGCGGCGGCCGGTTGACCGGTGGCCGGTTTGAACACGGCAGCAAAGCGGAGCTTTCCGGGCGTCAGCAGCAGAACAGACGTTTTCTCTGGAGGTTTTATTACTCTGAGAGCAGCTGCTCGTCTGTCAGAGTCCTCACCGAGTTTCTGCTGCGTCTGCAGCCGAGAAAAGACAAACAGAAACACACACACACACACAGAAACACACACACAGACACACACACACAGACACACATAGAAACACACAGAGACACACACACTGCCGACCTCAAAACAAAGAGCAGAAAACTACTCAGCAGCATGAGGTGGCTCGTCCTCTCTGACCTCTGACCCCTCTGACGTCAGCTGCCCCTCCCATGTGACTCACTCTCCTGGTCTCTGCAGAGGTGGAGAGAAACCGAGCAGTTTTCCACATCTGGGACATGACACAGACCAAAATCCAGCTCTTCTTCTGTTAATGGAGGTGGAACAAGGCCAAATGTCTCCTTCTGAGGGCAGGAACAGAAAAACACGATGAGCCACTAACTGCAGACAAAATGACCCGAAAAACTAGCATGAAAAACAATTAAAAGTGTCATTAAAGGAAGTGAAAAAAAAAAACAAGGTTAAGCTTTAACTGAGCTTTGTTTCTTTTTTTAAATTACAAATTTCAAGCCGATTTGCATGATTTTTAGGAAGTTTGGGGCAGCTGAGAGGGCCGTGAAATGCAACATGATGAGATCAGATCTGACCTGGTTGCATTTTTATTAACGATTGCGGATTCTTAAAGTAGTTTTACTTTTCACATTTGATGAAATATTGAGATTTGTGTGTCTTTTTATGGCAACAGTCTCATTTAAATCAGCCTCAAACTGATCTAAAATGCATTTTAAACTGATTTAAAATGCATTTTAAGTCTCCAGAAGCAAAACTCTGAGCACATTCATGCGTTTCCACTTTCTCCTAAAGCGTCCCCGCTCTCTTCCTCTCATTAACTCTTCGCAGGGGCCCTTTATTGAACCCATTTATGATGAGAGGGAGAAGCAGCAGCTAATTGCCCTCAGCTGGCTGCAGCTTCATGGGGTCTCTGGTTTTCTTTTCCCTGCTGCATCTGGCTGAAAGCAGAAAAGACTCCAACGCCTCTCCGTCCGACTCGGTTTGACTTTTGCTCCCAAAACAGCAGCGATCAGCGGCCGGTCTCTGGGCACCGGACAGCAGGAGTCAAGGAGCAAACAGACAGATGGAGGTTGATCAGTGGTCCCCACGGGGGGGGGGGGGGGGACCCACAGGGGAGGTAGAAAGTTGATTTCCACAAACAAAATGAACACTAAAAACGATTAGAAATAACATATGTTTGCCATGTTTGTAACACAAGATAAAACTAGTGGCTGAAATCAAAATAAAACCAACCTGTCCAGCGACTGAACCCTGAAGACCGCGTTTAGTTCTGAGACGCTGGCTGAGTTTATGGTTTAGGGGGAACAGCCACAGCTATCCAGGGTTTGGATGTGCCGATGCTGTGTGGCTCTACCTGCTAGTGTGAAAAGACTTTCTCGGTACTGATGGACGTCTCTAACATTAAACCCAGACTGGACTTGCTGTGCTCCAAGCATTGTAATGTAAAGAAACAAAAATAATGCACATTTTAGTGTACAAAACTGTAAATATAGCAGATATTAGTGTAAAAACTGTAAATTATGTACATTTTTGTAAAAAAACAGTAAATATTTCCCAATATAGTGTTAAAAACTGTCAATATTGCACATTATAGTGTAAAAAACTGTAAATAATGTCCATTATAGGGTACAAAACTTTAAATAATGTACACTATCCAAAATCACATTTTTACTATAAACTGAAATGCAAAAAAAAGAAAAAGGAAATATTCTACATTTAAGTTTTTTTAAGCAAAGTTTTGACTAAATGAGGGTGCAACAGGCGTAAGAAATGTGTGTTTAAATGTGGATCCAGGATCCAGAGCTGAACTGGGCTCTCACCCCCCCCCCCCCGGGGCCTCCTCCTCTCCTCTCCTCTGTGTCCGCAGGTCTTGGGACCAGTTCCACGACTGTGCCAACGTGGCCATGGCGGGCTGCCCGCAGGAGGCGGCGGCCGTGTGGGAGTCGCTGCGCCAGGAGTCCAAGAAGATGCAGTTCTCCGGGAACCTCTACGACATGTGCTCCAACCGGGACGGCCTCCCCCCGGCGGATTCCGCGGTTCCCCGCGGCTCCCCGGGCAAAGAGGAGGTCAGCCAGGAGTCTCTGCGGGGGGGCGCGGCCGGGCGGGGGGGCGGCCCCGGCCTCCTGGGGCTGCTGCTGACCGCGGCGCTGCTGCTAATGTGGCTGTAACTGCCCACAGCAGCCGGACCCTGTAAATACATGTAACCCTGTGTTTTACGCCCCCCCCCCCCACCGGCCGTAGACTCTCCACCGCTTCTCCCCTGCGCTCCACCAGAGGTGGAACTTCTTCTAGCTGCATGCTCAGAGGCCCCACTCTTGTTTTGATGACGTTACGCTAAACCGCTGCTCCATTTCGTGCACATTTTCTGCTTTTTTGTTAGTTTTTTTCTGTTGCAAACTCAAAATTCAAACATGGACGCGAAACTTCTGTGCAAACAAGCCCGCAGACGCTTTAGTTTGGGTGGATGCAGGAGCCCCGTTTCCATCCGCCTTCATGCTTTGTTCGTGTAAATCTAGTTATTAGAAGCTTGCATGAGGTGGTTCAGAGGGGGGCTCCATCTTCCTGACTGTAATACGGAGGTGTAAAAGAGGCCGGCTGAGTTCTGTCCGCTCACAGGAGGCCCGACACGCTGTGCAGCTTCCACTCACATTTCCCCCAAACTTTCGGCTCTCCGAACCTGTGCAAAGTGTCGTCTTTTCAACCAAGCTTTCAAAAGCCTGCACAAAAACAGCCAATGAGCACCTTCCCCCTCAGCTTTTGTGTTCAGACTAAAGGTTTTAGACGTGGCGCTGATTTCTGAAAACGTAAAAGCTGCAGATTTGGTGTATGAATGAGAAAACGGTGGATTTTTGTGCGCAGATTTGAAGTTTTTGTTGCATTTTTTTCCCCAGCCGTGAACATTTAAATCTCGTTTCAAATCAGCTTTTTCTCATTTTGCTCTCGTCAACATCCTCATTTAAACCTCAGCCTTTAATGCAAACCTTTATGAAACCAGGATGAATTAAAAAAGCCAAATTTGGGACCTCAGATGGGCCTTGACGCTATTTTTTTGTGTAGTTCAGTCACAGTTCTGCAGTTTTTTTGCATCCGAGCAGCTCCTCAATCTTTTTGTTTGCAACTTCTGAATTAAACACCTGCGAAACTGGTGATAACCTTCAATTTTAAAGGTTTCACGAAGACTGAAGAAGGTTTTCTGATCCGTTTCAAGGCTGAAACCCGAATAAAAGTCTATATTGTGCTGTGAAGGATGGGAGCTCACATTTTCCTTGAGTTAGCGAGATAAAAAAAGGAAGACTAGATTAGTGTGGATCATAAAATGACTCGGGAGGTTTGTTAAGAGTCACTTTTGCCAATATTTTAAGGTTTATCTCTCACAGCTAACCCATCTGTATGTCAGCTTCATTATTATAAGTTGTGTGCATTATCAGAGGGATTTTTCTGTCTTTTACAGTTTACTGAGAAAATGGAAGACTTCTGACAAATTAATTTGGCTTCTAACTTTACGGAATCTCAAACACTGAACCAACAAACCCAAAAATTAGCCCTTCTTGAAGCTAACCGAGTAGATTAATGATGGTTTTCCATGACACACTGTGGTAAAGCTGACTTTAATAATTTCCTCAAACTTCTTTCAAAGTGTAGCAACCGCTATTTATACCTCTAAACTTCTCTTTTTTTAAATGGTTTGGACAAAAAGATTAATTCATCCAACAATGTAAGCACACACACAGAAGGTTTGTTGTCTCTGTGTCACCCCAGAATCACAAGCTCTGTGATATGAAGAGCCAATCGCAGTTATATTTAGATGAAGACAGAAACTGCACAGTCAAAAGGAAGTGAAGCTGTCCACATCTTCAGCTGTAGCTCGACTTGTTTCTGAGGGTTCAGTGATAAGGAACAGAGAGACCCTAAAACCCCTGACGTTGGAGTTAACTGCGAGGTTTGTGTGGATGATAACAGGTTGGAAAATCCTTTTACTCTTCTCATGAATCGGAAAACCGAGTCTCGTTTAGGATTCCTGCCGCAGTGCAGCACAGTGAACAGGAACTGCCCCTAATTAGGGAATTACAGTAAAAAGAAAAATGTCAAGAGCTGCAAAAAGCACAAAAAACATCTTTCCTCCATCTGAGCCAAACAGGGTTAATTGTTCTTAAAGTTGCTTAAAGTCTGTGAAGGTTCAGACGTTAAGCACTCCAAACTGTCTGTGTGTGCGCATGTCGACCTGAAAGCGCTTTAGATGATTAATCTTCTTCTAAAAATCCCCAGAATTGGGAACGTGAAGGCCATTAGCTTAATTAGTTCATACTTAACTTTTGCTGTCAAACTGTAGGACCTAAACAGCCTCCAAAGCCACGATCTCAGTAACAAACCTGATAATATCGCTGCTTTTGGTTTGCATTTAGTAGAAATAAAGTGGGGAAAATGGTAAAAATGTGGATGCTCGCTTGTTTTTCGCCTGTTTTCTGGTGGCTTTATGCACATTAGGGGGAAAGAAAGTGGCTTTGTGGGTCCCATCTGACCCGGGAAAGTTTTAAAAGTTGTTCCTCAGCAGTTATTCTATTCTCACATGTCCCATTGGTGTATATTTAGAGAGATTCCTGCAGAAGAGCTCTTTCTGTTTTTCTCTTGTGAATATTGTTGGTGTTTTCCTCTAACATCCTGTTAACCACCCGCTTTTAAACCTCAGTCAGTGGCTCAAGTCGGCCATATCATAGAGTAGAAGCATAAACATGTCTTAAAGTGAGAGTTTTGACTAATGCTTTTATCATATTATTACTCAAAGGATTAAAGAAGTGCATGGAGATGGTTTTCCTGAATTTAAACCATCCTCTGGTGGCAGCCAGTGGAAACCTGTTAGATTCAAAAGTCAGCTCAGATTTTCTTTACAAAGAGAAAAAAACTCTCTTAAGTATTAGGATGTGGGTTTTCCTCCAATGATCTGGGACTATTCATGGATCACAGCATTGAAATCCTTCTCAGAAATGGAGTTACTTATTTGTGTTGTGGGTCAGATCGTGCCTCGGTTGTTTTGATCTGTTCGGTCCAGGCCTCTGCATCCTGATTTTTAACCCTGCAGTCGGGAACAAACCGATAGCTTCTCCGGTCACATGTCTGGTGGATTTCACGCTCCAGGTGTGATCAGGTAGTTTCAGGTCTGCGGAAGCTGCTCGTTATTCCAGTCAAACGCTGGGATTGACTGTCTACCACCGAGGGCTGGAAATGAGGTTAGATGGGAGGAACACAGAAAAAGATGGAAAGCAAAACAAAAATCCTCTGTATTCGGGGACTCGGGGGTTAAAGGAGTTGTCTTTCTGGAGCTTTGTCACCGTGGGGTGTTGTGGTTGTTCGGCTTAACGCTGCAGGAAAACAGGAATTCACCACCGTCCCCACCACTGTTTTTAATAATAAAACAGAACAGAAAGAGGAACACGGGCTGCACAGTGAGGCGACACAGGATTAAACCCACTTCAATTCACAAAGGGAAAAATTACTTATGCATTTTTTAATCTGAAATAAGACATCGAGGCTCGGCTCGATCTCTTATCTTACGCTATCATGTGTGTAAGTGCTCACTGAAAAGAAACAAATAAAAACTGTTACAGAAATCCAAATAGATGACTTCAATACCCAGAAAGAGCCAGGTTACTATTTTAGGTCAATTATATATATGTATAAGGAAATTGACCCAGAGATATGCTCGGCTGGTTTAAAGAGGCTGCTGTGGCTTGAACTTTAATTAAACTGACAGAATAAGCAATTAGAAGCCTCGATGGCTGAATCACCAAGGAGCAGCAATCTGAAAGCTCTCTAAAGAGCTCGGAGGAGATGTTGTGACTGGAGGCTGGATCAGAGTAAAACACGGCCCGCTGCACACAGTCTGCGCTGGGCGCAGCGTGCTCAATCATCATAAACCAGCTTTGTTTTATGGGAATACGGCAGCTCGGACGAGTTTTCCGGCTCTGAGCTGCTCTAAAACACTCAGAAAACTCGTGAAATCTCTGTTGTGAGAGGTTATGCAGTTTGGACAAATCTCATTTTAGTTGGCTCTGAGTGACGCTGCGGTGTAAACCTAACACTGTTGGCCAGAGAAGAGTGGGCTGTTATTCCCCAGTTATTTTCTAAAGGCTGCACGCATCCTCAGCGTGCTGACAAAAGGCTCAAATTGGACAGGAAGGATGGCAGGATGTGGATCTTTAACCCAATACAGCAGCGTCCCGTCAGAGGGGAGGACGCTCTGTGTTATTACTGTGGAAAAAAAAGGCCACGGCAGCATAAAACAGAGTTATTCATTCCTTTTTTTCTGCAACACCTGTATAATTTCATTCTCATCTGAGAGGGCTGAAGATGTCAGGGCTCAGACAAACAGAGTCCTGAGCATAAAGGAAAATTACGCAGAATTCAAGTCATTTTTTTGGGCATCTTTAGCTATTATGCCTCAGGCTTTCCAGGAGTCTTGAAGAAGTTTTTTCCCCAAGCCAATTAAGTCCGAGCCATGAATAACTCAAACTAAAAAAGCCTCATAATTCAAGGGATGAACCAGTGTTGCGTCTACCCAGAACAGACAACAAATAGAAGGAGATGGTGCCCATCGCTGCAATTCGGCCCCAAATTTCAAACACTGGCTGTAAAATTGTGCTCAGTCTTTTAAGCTCTTTCCCATAAACATTAGGAGTCACTTGTTAATTTTTTTTAAGCTTATCAAACTTAAAACCCACCCACACAACACTTAGTGTTTTTCTTCATTTCACATAGTATAAGTTAAATAGATTTGGTTCTTCAGATGTTATTATGTGAGCTTAAAGACAGAAGTTTGGATTCTCTGACTCAGTCAGGTGAAGCTGTTTCCAAACAACAGGAAAGAGAAACAAAACCCAAATAGTTTCACAGTGTTCTGAAACACAACACACTTTTAATCCTGTCTTTCTCTTTTTTGTGAGATAACTGAATAAGTGGCTTGGAGCCGTGTTTCCCAGCCCCCCCCCCCCCCCCCCCCCCCGCCCCACACACACACACTCTTTACAAACCGCTGTGCTGGAGCAGGAAACATGGAAAACATGCAGGGCAGTGCACCAGACAGCCATTAGACCCAGCCATTAGTGTAAAAAACAGGTAAAACGATGAGGAAGTTACCATTTGACCTAAATAGAACCTCAGTCTTTTAATTTAA